TGCCCTAATCTCAAAAAAATCCCACCCCACCCCCAAAAATATTAATCTCCTCTCATTTTTGCTTAAGGGTCTAATGATCTCTGCCTTTTGCAAACTGACCACTCAACAACAAGAAGGAAGGACTCTAGCCTTTCTAAAGGCTGGATCCAAAGCTTACTCGAGTTCAGTAGGGATTTTCATGGCCTTTAGCAGGCTTCAGATCAGTATCTCTGTTGGTAGATTTATACAATATTCTGCATTGCAAGGCTGTGTCCATTTTGGACTCCAAACGTTGCCTCTCAGGGCTCTATGCAGCACACCTCCTGTAAAATCCAAGCTACTGTGATTGTTTCTCTTACTGCCTGCTTGGGATGCAGGTCCTGCTGTCTTGCAGTGAGCACCAGGGATGTCTGACCATCCTCCTCTGACCATTGGAGTTAGCCATTGTGTCTACCTTAGGAACCCATAATATATAGCATGAGTGCAGCTGGCAGAAGTTAACAGCTCTCAAGCCAGACACGGTGTCAACACCAACCTGCTGTAAACACAAAACTATCACAGTGGTTGAGCAGCTGGGGGAAGTTAAAGCACAGTAATTGGGTAGTTTGACTTAAATATCCTGCGCATGAGAACCAAGATGTGGTTCATCTCACCTAACTCTAACTGTGGACTACGTTTATAATCAGTGGAGAGGAGCAGGCACTGCAGAAGACCATTCATCCTTTTCATCTCAGACACCAATCTTAAGAGTGGCTTAAAATTACACTTTTTAGATATTTGGAGTTACGTGACTTAAACTACCCTCCTAACCTGTGTGATGGCAGATCTTTAAATGTCTGTAAGAGCTAGAAGGAACTGTTATGGTAGGATGTCCACCCTTCTGCTACTAAATACATCGCTTCCTGCCCTGCTAATATCTTGTGATACGTGTGTCAGCGACAGGTCTTTACAGTTGCTGAAGCAGGGGCTGATACACAGTTTATCCAGTACCAAATTCTTTGTCTTTAATACTCCTACTGTCTGGAGTCTGTTGGATGATACAGGCATACAAGAGAGCAGAAATTGCGCGGTAGCGTCTGGAGCCATTGAGCCTTCTCTTCCTGAGCACGAGTATAACTGTAGTCAGTTTATGGCTAAGTACATTTTCCTCTTGAGACAACAATGCAGCAGGATCTGCTAGGCTCTCCATCATCTTAACCTACTTGTCAGCCAGCTTGATAACTTTTTATTACTAAATATGTGTGCAGAGCAATTAGAATAAATCTAAATAATTATGAACTACTTTCAAAAAAAAAAAAAAAAAAAGGTAAATTAGGGAAAAAAGAAAACTAACAGCCTTGCTATCCAACTGTGATCAGCCACAAATAAGGGAGGGACAGTATCACCTGAAGGCACCCGGTGACACTCATCAGCCACCTGTGGTCTGACTTTATTGGGAAGCAATATGTTGGGAGATTCCCATTACCTTCTGACGTTCTGCTCCTTGTGATGCCTGTTTGAACTTGTATTTTCTTTGGCTGCTAAATCTAAAGGACAATTTAATTCCACACAGGGGTGGTCACGCACAGAAAGATGTTTTCAATAGTCCATCTGCATAGGGCATGGATTACTTTAAGTAACATAGAGGAAGAGTCAGGGAAGGGCTTTTAGATTAAAAACTCAGCTTGTTCTGATCCAATCCACATCTATAGCTATTAGCAGGAGGCGTTCTCACCCCTGTTCATCAGACACCCACATCATGTTAGGCACTACCAGTGAAGCTGATTTTGGGCATCTGTTGCCCTCTCTCCTGGGAGTGAGCAGCCCTGGGGATAATAATGGTCCCCAATGCTTTTGTTGAGAGAGGGAGGAATAAGTTGGAGAACAGAAATCCTATTCACAGCACAACAACAAGGTTTTTATACCTGCTTATGTTCTGATGTGAGAAAGGGAAAAGATGTTTGAAAAGTCAACAGGAGATGTTTTAACTCATATCCTACACTCTCCCACCCAAAAAACCTCAATACCTAACAGTCTTGCAACATGTGGACAAACCAGATCCAAATGCCACTCCCCAGGTATCAAATGGAGTCTTCTATGTTACAGGTTACTTATCCTACTGAGCTAACAGCGGAGGTGGAATTCACTTTTCCATTTTCTTTTCATCTTGCCAATCTCAAGAAATCTTTGCAATTAAAGTTTCACTGATCCCAATGTTCTGACAAAGCATTTCTGTTCTGACACAGTAGTGTTTCCAGAGGAAACTATTAGAAATTTAAAAAGTTATGTTTAAAATTTCATGACCTGTGTGAAATGAGTCAGATCCCTCTCCCAGTGTGATTCAACAGAGCCCCTGTCAGGTAAATGGGGCAACACTCATTTACCTCGGGCCAAGAAGCAGCCTGTACTCTGCAGTTACTTCTTTGCTTACTAATTGCTTTTTTCCCCCTCGTGGAGTAAATTCTGGTGCTAACTATGAAGCATGGTAAAAAAACAAAGCAAGCCACTGCATTTGAATGTTTGATTCCCCCATTAATTATGTGTCTCTCTTTGCTCTTTCTTACAGATGAATAGACCGATCCAGGTGAAACCAGCGGACAGCGAAAGCCGAGGAGGTAGTTGACTGCATTGCTTTCAGCCACAGTGCTAAGTATAATTGTTGTCTCTGGCTTCTCTCAGGCAATGTGCTGATCAATTAGTAACGTAATCACTGCCAAAGAAATTCCCTCTGCAGCAAAGATTCTCTTTATTAAATCTCCTTTACTTCGTCTCGCTTTCCTCATATTCAATTATTATTTGATTTTAAAAGGCAGGCAGGTGCCAGCAATTGCCTGGGAAACAAATAACTGCCTCGTTAAGAAGTGAAGCATCAGGCGCTTACTTAACAAAGTTTAACAGTGGCGATGGCAACGTAGGTTTTTCAGACCTATGTTGGGCTGAGCTGCAGAGGTGTTTAATTTTGTTGGGATAAAACAGATACTTTATTGTTTCTCTGACCATGTTGTTTCTGCTTGGACTGAAGCAACTGCTTTTGGAAAAAGCAAATTCTGAGGTAGCAGAGTTTTCTGCACCTGTATCAGCTTATCTGGATAAACCTGTTGTGGAAACTGAAGACTTCTCTCAGTCCCACGGAGTTATTCAGGATTTGCACAGGTGTGGTTGAAATCAGGAGCTGGTCTTTTGCTTTTCCATCTTGCACAGTGGATTTGGAAGGCTTTGCTAAGTGATCGTTCAATAAATCACCAGTGATAAGGTGTTTCCTGTAAAAGGTTTTCTACCAGAACTGATGTGGTGATACTACACCGTACTCTTCTAATAGGCACCTGTTTGTCAGATCAAACATGGAGCTTTATGAAAAAGTGTAAGACAGTCCATTATTCTGCATAAATTACCATTCTGCTTTTTTTTTCTTACATCTGTACATTTATATATATACATGCATAGATATATAATGACATTGCGCTTCCTTCCACTCTATTCCTGTTTATTTGTGGAAAAAAGGAGGGGCTTTTCCCCATACATGCAGTAAAAAACCCTATTCTTATGTATCATATACTGTGGGAGTAGATTCTGTCATTTAGTAATGATGTGGCTCAGATGTGTGAAAACTCTTTAATTTCCACCATGGATGTAAACTCTTCCTCATTTATGGGATGACTATCTTTGTGCTAGCATCAGTGGAGACCCCCAGCAGCAACTACTTAAAAGGAGCAAAATGCCTTGCAAACAAAAGGCACTGAAATTGTGTTACTTTTTCAGTTGAAAGCTTTGGGTTTCAGAGGCTTTGGCTGCACCAGTGTGACGCTGAAACTCTGCAGTAACTCAAGTCATTGGAAGACTTTGTATGTAGCTTGTAGTTAAAGGGCTGGTGTTACGGAGTAGTGAAACTGGCAAGTTGACAGAGGCTCTGTAAGGAAGGGCTGTGGTGTGGTGTAATTGCAGAGCAAGAGAAGAGCTGAGTGCTGGAAAAATGCCAGAAAGCTCAGGGATAAATATTGCATTTTTAGAGTCCCCCGTAAAGTAAATTTGGGGAATTTGGCCAACACTGGGCAGAAAGTATTTGCTGAGTTCTGCGATGGCAAGTTCTGCTATCAAGGGCCATGGCATGTTTTTGACCTGCAACAAAGGCATGTCACATCATACAACATCGTCCGGTGATTTTTAGCAGAAACAGGTCAATTTACCCACTTTCCCTTTCCGTCTGACGATCTGGCTCCGTGTCTGAGTAGGAGTCAGTCTCAGTCTGGGCAGTTGTCAACACCGATTTCCTAGGGGAAAAGGGAAAGGCTCAGCTGCCTGGGCAAATGAGGGAACATTATGCACATTCCAGTGGAGTTCGTGCCGACAGCGAGAGTGAAGGGAGGGCCTTTTGTCTATTTAATTAGACATACCAAAAAATAATAATTAGGCTGGCCAATTTGCTTAGTGTGCCTACAGGGTATGTAGCTCCCGGGGGTTGGGGTCCCCCCTGTGGGGCTGCCCCGCCTCTGGGTCAGATACCCTGTGGGTTGTGGACGCCTCCGTGGGTTGGACCTCCCTCTGAGTCAGACCCCCCCGTGGGTTGGGGTCCCCCCGTGGGGCTGCACCGCCCCTGGGTCAGACCCCCCAGTGGGTTGGATCTCCCTCTGAGTCAGACCCCCCCGTGGGTTGGGGTCCCCCCGTGGGACTGCGCCGCCCCTGGGTCAGAGCCCCCCGTGGGTTGGGGACCCCCCAGGGGGTTGGACCCCCCTGGGTCAGACCCCCCCGTGGGTTGGGGACCCCCCTGTGGGTTGGACCCCCCTGTGGGTTGGGGGTGTCCCCCTGCACGCCCGGCTCACCATCTCAGCCGTTCCCGTCATGGCGTCCTCTGGGATGGAGTACATCTGGTGCTTCGTCTTCACCTTCCACTGCCCTTCCTCTCCCTCGCCCACCTTCACCAGCATCACGCGGAAGTTGGTGCCGCCCAGGTCCAGCGACAGGAAATCTCCGACCTCTGCAAAGCCGGGGCGGGGGGACACGAGGTGAGGGGGGCTCAGGGGGGGCTTCTTTGCTCTTTCTTACAGATGAATAGACCGATCCAGGTGAAACCAGCGGACAGCGAAAGCCGAGGAGGTAGTTGACTGCATTGCTTTCAGCCACAGTGCTAAGTATAATTGTTGTCTCTGGCTTCTCTCAGGCAATGTGCTGATCAATTAGTAACGTAATCACTGCCAAAGAAATTCCCTCTGCAGCAAAGATTCTCTTTATTAAATCTCCTTTACTTCGTCTCGCTTTCCTCATATTCAATTATTATTTGATTTTAAAAGGCAGGCAGGTGCCAGCAATTGCCTGGGAAACAAATAACTGCCTCGTTAAGAAGTGAAGCATCAGGCGCTTACTTAACAAAGTTTAACAGTGGCGATGGCAACGTAGGTTTTTCAGACCTATGTTGGGCTGAGCTGCAGAGGTGTTTAATTTTGTTGGGATAAAACAGATACTTTATTGTTTCTCTGACCATGTTGTTTCTGCTTGGACTGAAGCAACTGCTTTTGGAAAAAGCAAATTCTGAGGTAGCAGAGTTTTCTGCACCTGTATCAGCTTATCTGGATAAACCTGTTGTGGAAACTGAAGACTTCTCTCAGTCCCACGGAGTTATTCAGGATTTGCACAGGTGTGGTTGAAATCAGGAGCTGGTCTTTTGCTTTTCCATCTTGCACAGTGGATTTGGAAGGCTTTGCTAAGTGGCCGTTCAATAAATCACCAGTGATAAGGTGTTTCCTGTAAAAGGTTTTCTACCAGAACTGATGTGGTGATACTACACCGTACTCTTCTAATAGGCACCTGTTTGTCAGATCAAACATGGAGCTTTATGAAAAAGTGTAAGACAGTCCATTATTCTGCATAAATTACCATTCTGCTTTTTTTTTCTTACATCTGTACATTTATATATATACATGCATAGATATATAATGACATTGCGCTTCCTTCCACTCTATTCCTGTTTATTTGTGGAAAAAAGGAGGGGCTTTTCCCCATACATGCAGTAAAAAACCCTATTCTTATGTATCATATACTGTGGGAGTAGATTCTGTCATTTAGTAATGATGTGGCTCAGATGTGTGAAAACTCTTTAATTTCCACCATGGATGTAAACTCTTCCTCATTTATGGGATGACTATCTTTGTGCTAGCATCAGTGGAGACCCCCAGCAGCAACTACTTAAAAGGAGCAAAATGCCTTGCAAACAAAAGGCACTGAAATTGTGTTACTTTTTCAGTTGAAAGCTTTGGGTTTCAGAGGCTTTGGCTGCACCAGTGTGACGCTGAAACTCTGCAGTAACTCAAGTCATTGGAAGACTTTGTATGTAGCTTGTAGTTAAAGGGCTGGTGTTACGGAGTAGTGAAACTGGCAAGTTGACAGAGGCTCTGTAAGGAAGGGCTGTGGTGTGGTGTAATTGCAGAGCAAGAGAAGAGCTGAGTGCTGGAAAAATGCCAGAAAGCTCAGGGATAAATATTGCATTTTTAGAGTCCCCCGTAAAGTAAATTTGGGGAATTTGGCCAACACTGGGCAGAAAGTATTTGCTGAGTTCTGCGATGGCAAGTTCTGCTATCAAGGGCCATGGCATGTTTTTGACCTGCAACAAAGGCATGTCACATCATACAACATCGTCCGGTGATTTTTAGCAGAAACAGGTCAATTTACCCACTTTCCCTTTCCGTCTGACGATCTGGCTCCGTGTCTGAGTAGGAGTCAGTCTCAGTCTGGGCAGTTGTCAACACCGATTTCCTAGGGGAAAAGGGAAAGGCTCAGCTGCCTGGGCAAATGAGGGAACATTATGCACATTCCAGTGGAGTTCGTGCCGACAGCGAGAGTGAAGGGAGGGCCTTTTGTCTATTTAATTAGACATACCAAAAAATAATAATTAGGCTGGCCAATTTGCTTAGTGTGCCTACAGGGTATGTAGCTCCCAATCACTCTTTTTTTTTTTTTTTTTTTTTTTTTTAATGCAAATCACTAATAGAGAACACATGCCTGGCTTTCTGGGAAGGGTTTTCAAACTCTTTTGCTAAGAACAGCTGCTTTCAGGAGGGGCGGTTGGAACAGCAAAGGGCTCTGGTGGTGGTTTGATTCCACATTATCCGTCACACCAGTGGTTCCCTCCCTATTGTATTTTAGCTAATTATCTTCCCAACAGACACAAACCTCATCTTTTCTCACCCTCTCTGCTCCCATATTGCTCCTATCGGTGATGTTCATAACGCAAGGGCCAAGCGGGTGCACTCATCATTGGCGTGAAAGACACGTTGTCCTAATTCCCCACTGACAAGCTGCTTCTGGGCTGGTGATGTTTCAGGATGGCATGACTCAAGGGCAACTATGGGAGAAAAGAACAATTGGCACTCAAGGGAGGCATTGTATGAAAACTTACGTTCTTTGCGAGCCCACCGGTTAAAGCAGGTGCAGCAAACAGAATGCTAAAAAGGCGGCTGTGTATCTTAGGAGCACATCAAAAGACTTCATTAGGGCTGCAAGATAAAGGTCAACTTCAACAACAAAGAAACTTAAGTTGTAGCTTATTATACCCTGTCTGTGTATTGGGATGGGATGTGAGGGAAGAGGGGGGCTTGGAAGATGAAGCATCTCTTCTGCACAGCACAAGTCTTCAGTCTTCCCAAAGCCCACACTCTGAATGCACCACTATCATCTGGCTTATGGGGAGAAAGAATGCAGTGCTCTTTGAAACTGTAGCTTGCAAGGAGGCTTTTACTGGAAATGGTGAACAGTATTCTTGAGGAAGTGAGATTGTGTTTTATATAGGGACAAATACCTGCATTTTGATAAAACACAAATCTTTGACTTTTCCAGTAAGTTCTCCCACAACCCAAGGCTGATAGGAGTCCAAAATTTACTCTCCCTCCCAACCATATTCTGCTTAGCATTTTTTTCTGTTGTTCTGGAGTCTGGATTTTATTGGTCTTTAACCCTTCCTGTGTCTTGATTCTCAGTTGAACCTAAACTGGATGTGTTAAAATTTAGTGTCTGAGAGCAAGAATTTAAACTATCAGACTATCTAGGTTTGGGGAAGAATTCAAAATGTTGTTTGGCACAAATTACACTCAACACAAAAAAATGGAAAAGCTGAGTGCCCCTTATTAGTTTTGCTGGTTTTATTATTTTGTTTGCTAATCCCCATATTGGACTAGGAGCAAGACAAAGAGTGCAATCCTTTTCAATAAAAACTGGCATTATTTACATTTGCCTAATCTCACAGGAACTAGAAATGAATGTATTCTCGGTACATTTCTCTAGGGAAACAGTCTAAATTAATGGGAAAATTTTGCATTTTGCGTTCCTGCCTATTTGTGCATGTGTGTATAGTCAAGCTGCAAAATGTTATATAGGGGTATTCCTTCTACAAAATGCTTCATGAAGCTTCAAATACCTGATCAGAAGGTCCTTTGAGAGAGTCCTTTGACATTTTATAGAGACTTTAGCAGTGATGGAATTGATAGAATGTAATAAAAAGACAAAAATTCTGTATTTTGTTCTGAAAAATCAGTGTGTAAAGCTAGCTCTATTAGGGGTAACTTAAAAACTCTCATTGGCCTTTGTGTTGTCCAAATTTAAACTACTTCACCATAGATAAGGTAGTCCAATATGTTTTTAGGGATGTAAAGCTATAACTCCATGATAAATTCTGAACATGACAAAATCCCAATTAAACTGATAGAATCTTCTCTTATTTTCATCCTGTTGTTGATGATTTTTCTCGGTTCCTTGTCTCATACTCAGCTCTAAAAGTAGTCTGTAGATATTAGTGACTTAAAGTTTTGCAAACTCATTTTGGAGCCATTTCTTATTTTATCCACAATATCTCCAGCTCTCGCTAGACAACTCTCGCTGTGGCTGGCAGGGTTAACCTATGATAAACGCAGCCCCAAGGTCCCACTAGGTTGTACATGGAGTAACATTTTTTAAAAGGAAAGGACTTTCTTGGTACTCTAGTTGCACTCTGTTAGTGATGCTTAGATGCTCCATTGCTCCCACATTCCTCTCAGAGGACAGAGGAAGATGTGTAAAGGAAGGCATGCAAAAATGCACGCAGTGTGCTACCCAGGCCCAGTGTTGCTTTACCAAGAAACACAGTGGTTTTGGGGTCCTCCTGCATTTTATGCAGCATATACAGAAGGTTCCTGGACTAAAGAAAATAAAAAGGTAAAGTCCAAAGTTGTTTAGAGTTGAAAGGTTGCAATGTCCTGCAGAGAGGGTGTTGAGAGATTTTTCAGGAGTCTGCAGTTCATCACATTGCAGTGTTTTCTGCATGCAAGGCTTCACAAATCTACTAAAGCTTTTGTCTGTGTTTGTGCTTTCAAGCAAATTTGTTTGTGTACATTTAGGGGAGGCATGTGCAGTGTGTCTTTTTTTGTCTGCTGTTTGGAGGACGTGACAACAGCAGCTGGAAGGTTTGGACTTCATATTTCAATTGACTTGCATCATTTTTCTACCCATTACTCAATGTGCAGGCTCTGAAATTATCTGCTTGGTTATGGTTTATTCCAGCTTCAGAGCAAAATGTCCAAGAGCTCGTTTACAGTAAACAGCAAAACAGTGGTGCCTTGCTCATGCACTATGATCTCTTTCTTTTTATTCCCTTCCATCAGCTCAGCAATGACGATGGGGCCAGAATGGCTTCTGCACAGTTTCTAAGCCCTATTTTTCTTTGGGGCAAAAGTCTGGATCTATTTCTTATTTCATCCGGACCATTTCTAACTCTCACTAGCTCTCTACTGCAGCTGGCAGGGTTTATCTGTGACAAACACAGCCCTAGGTTCCACTAACTATTTGCAATTTAGCTGTTTTCCTTTTAACTGATCAGAATTCTGTGGCTTCTGTTGATGGTCAAAACCTCACAAGAACCTTACCAACCAGGTACTAGCCAGATCCAGGCCTATTTATGTGCCAAAATCAGGCAAGTCTGGTTTGCCTTCAGCTTAATTTGGCTTCACAGTGGTATAACAATGCTGTGGAGAATTATTTCCTTTTTCATTGGAAGTGCTTTGCAAAGACAAAGATTGGTTGCCCACCAGAAAAGTCTGAGGAAGTGAGTTAAGGGTAAATAAGGAGATGGCAATCTCAGCAGAGTGCAGCATGTCCTCTCCTGCACTGCTGGAGGTTAGGCTACACCTGCATCAAGAAGTCCTGAAGTCTGGGACTATGCATGCACCACAGTTGTGCCTTTGTAATTCTCATCTCTTCTCTACCTCTGAGCCACATGTGTTGCTCGAAAGCTCCATGGAAGGCACTTTACAGCAGTTCTGTATGATACCTTTGGTGAGCTTCTATAAAAGACTTCCTATGCCGTAAGCTGGAGAGCAGGCTGAGGGAATGTCTTGTTTCCAAGTGGTAATCCACACAATCCACCTTTATGTGGCCTGCCACAGCTTTTATTCAACTGCTCATTTCTTTTTCTCTTATGGCTCCTGCACCCACTCAGCAGGAGCAGGCAGATAGCACTGGCAAACACCCCAGGGAGACAGATAATGTTATCCCTTCTTACAGCTGAGGGAAAAGATCCAAACTTATTTCTCCATGAACACATCCCTGTTAACTCTTCCAACATTGCCATATCTTGGGTAGAGCAAGGCACAGGCAGGGACTTGCAAAGGTCACACAACACGTGTGCCAGCATTTGCTGTGACATTGCACTTGAAAGGCTAAGACTACTAGTTGGACAGTAACATCTCCTGTCTTCACATTTTATGACATCTGGACTCAAGACCTCTAGACAAATTTACCACACCCATGGGCTCATATTCCCCTTTCTTTCCCTCAATGCCCACAATACC